GGTAGGCTAGAGGTCACGCTTTGTTGTGAATTGGCAGAAGTTAGAATGCATGCGTTTGTCAGTGAATCGGGTCCCAGTGTCTCAATGGTCTACGAGCTCGCCTTGTAACCAGAAGGTCATGGGTTCGAACTTGGGCGGTGGGTACGAACTGATAAAGAGTCCTAGACTATGGCGAAACAGCTGTCCAGTACTCCCTGGTTTTTCAATGGTTTTCTAACTAATGTCAGCTCGTGATAAAATCCTGTAACCCATCAATCAAATGCCTATTAACCAACACTTGAATAGTCCGTTTGAAATTGTGCATCATTCATTTCTGGTCGGTAGTTCAGTCGGCCAGGTCGTACTTTAAGCACCACTAACTTTCAATCAGCGAATGACCTTGAGTGGTCATTGAGTTTCATCCAGGTGAGTTGAAGGTTCTATTCCGCTTGATTCGAGTCAAACGCCTGCTATAAGGATGTTACGCTTGCAGTTTAATGAGGGTAAGATTTTTCAGTACTGGTTGGATGTGGGGTTGCTTAGGAAGGAAAGAATTTGTTCATTTGAAGGTGTCGTGTGTATAAAAGCTTCAGCAGGTCGGCTGATGCATTTATCCATCGTGGTGCAATATTTTTGAAACGATTTAGTGTTAGAGAAGGTAAGCTGATGATTCTAATATTTCATAGGAACATTTTCTGCTAGGTCCCATCTCTCCTAAACCCAAATTTTGTATATTTGTAATTACTGGGTTTTAAAACAGCCTGTGAGAGGTGCAGCTGCTGAAACTCAAAGTAGCCTTGTATTAAAAGTTCAGAAGTACCGGCACTGCAGAGACATCGCATCGTGGAAAATGGGGAGAATTACTTCGTTATCAGGAGGAGAAGGTGTCTTCGTACACGTGGATGAAACTGTCTCATTGACGAAAAAATACAACCGTGGTCTTGAACGAGCAAACAATGTTTAGGTGATCGGTTTATCTGGCATCTGCCTACAGAAATGATTCGTCGAGAGAATACCAGAAGGAAAGTCAACTACCTTAGTACCTATTATCACTCAACTGGTGAAACAGGGACCTATAATACACGCCAATGAGTGGAAAGGTTATAACTCCCCTATCATCCCTTGGATATATATTTATCACAGAGTAAAATAATATAGTGATTTTGTAGATCCCATTACACGGATACACACCACTTTGTTGAAAGTTTTCGGGAAAGATTAAAAAAACAGGATTAGGGCTATAAATGGATCTCAAAAGGATATCATTTATAGTCATTTGGATGAATATATGCACAGAATATGATGTAACTTTTCAGTTGATACTCCTATGCTGAACTGGGAGATGTTTCTACCACATTTCGGAGAAAGATATCCTATTTAACAGTTTTGTGCAGTTGATATGCATTTTTTCCCATAAATATATGTTTTTCATGACCAAAAATGCCTCTTTCATGTGACTGGTTTGTTGAAAGTCGATCTTTGATTGGTAGTTAGTGGTGCTTAGAGTTAAACTTTGTCGTTATATCAACTTAAAATTCTCCCGTTAAAGAGAAGACATTCAACGATATCATTTTCATATTTATTTCATCAAATCACAAACTTTTCTCATAATGATTTTTGATTTTGTTCCGTCTTCTTTATATTGTTGTACAAATGGTATCTTCCTTGACCAATTTATACTTTAGAAAGTTTGTTTCTTAAAAGAAAGAAGATTTTAATGTATACGTTGATCACTGTCTTATATTTTTGGTGATGTTATTTTTTCAGTGTGATCATTTGCTTATAAATGTATGTATTGAATATGCAGATATATAGAGTATTCTTTGATTGGACAGTAGGTATTAGCCAGTGTCATGCATTTAGAACTTTGTTTGGTGTAGACTAAATTCTGTCAGTCAAGTTTGCAATATGGCTACCAGGCTGGGTGGCTCACTATCATGGCGCATTTTGAACTGTTGTTCTAAAGTGGCTGGAGACAATCGGAAGGAAGCCATCAACCTAGGTTTCATGCTTGTTGTGACACTCGTCAGAAAGGCCTATATCTAGTCTTGAAGGAACTTGTGTGAAGTATTACTTAAACAGTTCTAAAAAATATATCTGGATGAGAATGTTAACACTTTTAAAAAATATCATGGCACCACGGTAATATATGTGTGATTATACAGCACCAACAGGCTGACAGAAGAGGAAGAAAAGAAAGAACTTGAAGTGAACATAAAGAACAAGGATGTGTTGAAGATAACAAACCAACCAATCAACTGAAGAAATTCCAAAGAAATCGCTTCATGCGCTTATCTAGGGAACATCCTTTCAACTACAGGCTACAGAATAGATGAGGATGTCAAAACCATTCAGGATATGAAATGAAAAACAGACATTCATCACTCTGGAACCAGTTTAGAAATCTTCTGCACTCAGCATAAAGAAAAAAATTCGGATTTTCAACACTATTGTTAAGTTGGTTGTTCTATACGGGTTAGAAACTTGACGTATCTTCAAGAGGTATTTCAACAGTCATCCGCAAACTTTTGTCAGCGGATGCCTTCGATTCATTCGATATTGACGATTAGACGGCCATTTAGAAAGGATTAGAAACAAAGAACTCTGGGAACGAACCAGTCAGGAATCAATTGGTCAACCAGTATGACGAGGGAAACGTAGATGGATCAGACACACGCTGACGAGACCACGGAATGCCATTGCGTGCTGGTAACACCCCTGACTGGAACCTGAGGGTGACATGGAAGAGATCGTGTGAAGAGGAAATGAAACCTCATGAGTAATCGTGGAACCAGATGAAGAAGACACCAGAAAACAAGATCGAATGAAGATGCTACGTTGAAGCCGCATGTGCCACTCGGAACCAGAGGAAATAATAATAATCATAGTAACAATAATACGATCATTACTTCAATCGCTCTACACATTGTTTGAATACATCTTAAAGTCTAACCAGCAAAAAACAAAACATCACACTGGCGACTATCCGTTGATTAATAAATTTGAAAATAACAAGTTTCATGCACTATAAACAGGTTTGATATCTATCGACATTTTTACATTGATATAAGAATAGAAATTGAGTCCTGTGGTAGAGAATAGTTCCGTCATAGAGAGAAAATTTATTCGATTGTGGTACACCATGATACAGTATTATTTATTTACTGGTGACGTTTCTAGCCCAATTTGCTGTTGCACCTAATTATATAAAGGCATTCACAATGGCATTCCAAACTTTGTTTATACAGTCCCAATATATCTTATCCTTTAATTTTATTGGTAACAATATTTTTCATATCTCTGCTTTTGGTTATGAGTTATTCCTAATACACGTGTTATGTCTAGATTTGGTGAACAAAGATTCAGCAGTCAGTCTCTGTCTCACCATCTATCTATATTAATTTTTATAATTGTGACTGTACCACCCACCATAATGTGTGGTTGTGTGTTAATGCATGCAGTGCTATTGCTGAGTTCTTTTCTAAATTACTTATCTTCGTGGGATCAATCATTCTAACCTTAGCTAAATTCGCATGTTCTGATAATCTCACTACTCCTGATCCACTGGTTTCATCTATGCACTTGGCTGAACTGACAGTCATTGCAAGGTATTTTGTGGTTTACACTATTTTGTCTAATTGGGTCAATAGATTCTTTTAGCCTACATACCTTATCTCTGAGTGAGTTTTCAGGTTTAAATGCAACCCTAATTCTCACCCTATTAAGAGTCTCACGTAGGGTCTCAGATAGCTCTTCCTTATATGGTTAAACTACTGATACCTTAAATTCTTTCTTATTTGTGTTATACTCAACAGTTCTACTACTATTTTGCCTTTCCTTATGAGCTTTTGTATTCCTCTAAATAAATTTAGTGGGGTAGTTACTTACTCTTGTTATAATGCACAAAAATACTGACTACCCGAATGGTAAATATATGCATAACTGCATACAGCAGTATTGGTATTTCGGAAGTTCACGCACGAAACAAGAAACCAGAAAGATAATGGTCTACGATCGGCAAAGATGCGTGAAAAAGAGGAAAAGTTAGTTAAGAATAGTGATTTTCAGAATCATAAAGATGATAAAATATTTATACCTCTGTGAGACTATGATCTGTTTCCATCTATATCACAGAGTGTGTCTAATAACATTCTGATGACCCCAACCGAGGAATTTAACCCATTTAAGTGGCCCAGACCATTGGTTAAGAAACCATTAAAATCATTTGAAAACCCTCAAGATAAGGAATGTCAACAGCACTCAGAATCATGAAAAATAAGATCCGGTTTTCAACTCTAATGTGAAATCAGTGCTACTTTATGGATCAAAGACTTGGCGCGTCACGGAGGGTACTCCGAACAGACCATAGACCTTCATCAACAGCTGCCTTCGCTAAATACTACCCAAGATCAGATGGCCTGCCAGAAACGATCAGCAACAGGGACTTCTGGGAGCAAACCAACCCAGCAGGAACCCATTGTGCAACAAATAAGCGGGGAGAAATGGAGGCGGATTGGCCATACTCTGAGAAAGCAAGCCATCAAGTGACCTCACACGCCAAGCTCTCCCTCGAGTAGAACCCGATGGGAAGCGACAAGTTCGTCGTCAGTGCAAGGGTGACTTGGAGGAGGTCATGTGAAGAGGCGATGAAAGCATGTTGGCAGACGTGGAGCCAGATGAAAACATTGGCAGTGAACCGAACGCAATAAAGACGTGCGGCTAAAGCCTTATGTTCCCTTAGGATCTAAAGGAAACAATAATAAGCCAAGTAACCCTTACAAATCCTTTTGAATTAGTCAAATAGGCGTATGTGTCGAACAACTCGCTTTCACTCAGACAATATCATAGTCCACTGGCTCAATCTTATTATCAAGAAGTTAAGTGAATATTAAGGTGTGGAGAAAATAGGTTGTTCTTAAACACTCTTGTATCCATAAGTTGCTGTACACTTCAAATTAAGTTTGTTACTTTAAAATAAACTCAATGAATTTCTTTATCATCTTTTTCAACCTTCCCTATAGAACCGTCATCAATCAGTATGTCTTAAAAATACAACAAAAAAGAGAAAAGTTTTTGATAGTACTAAACAACGTACCCAGGGCATACCAATTGCAAATCAGAAATCATCTATAAACGATAAATCAGCAGAAAAGGCAAGAAAACTCGCTCAAGTTGAAGCACGTAAACATAACTGGCGACAAAAACATGAAGAATTTATACAGTCTATCAGAGCAGCTAAAGAGTATACTATTGCTAAACAGACTGGTAGACCTTTACCACCTCCACCTCCACCAACTATTGATCCAGGTAAGTAAGTTTGAATAACACTTGTTGAAAATGAGACTTTAAACACATTTAAACAAAAATTCAATGCGTTACATTACACAATATAGAGTGCAGTATAGAGTGTAGCCTAGAAAGTCTACTACTGTTAATATTATTATTCCGTTGAGTTTTGAGTGGAATATAGGACTTCAGCCTCACGTCTCCATTTCTCTCTGCTGTCTGAAGTCTTTTTACCCAGCTGTACAATTATCCATAATCTTTCATTTCCTTCAAAGACGAAATCCTCCATGTCATCCACAGAATCACATCCGACTAATCGTTTCTCATTAGGGTTCCAATCAAAAACTTGGCTTGTGTGAGCTAACTATCACTACTTCTCTCTGAATATTTGCTGGTAGTAGATGCTTGATTTTTTTATGCCTTCACGCTCCCAGTGGAACATGGGGCGCCTTCAAGCTAGAGGCTTGAAGTTTCAGTAGCAGTGGTGTTTGTTTTTACGAGATGGGGTTGCGGGCCTCATGCTCAATCTGTCCTGTTTACCAGTATTATTACAGGTTTAGCGAGGTAAAGGAGTGCGTCGGTGGCCGGGAATCGAACCCCGGACCATGTGCATGGACGATGAACGTCCTAACCGCTGTACCACCGACGCAGATGCTTGGTTGCCATGCCACTAATATCCCTTGTTGTTTATTCTTTCTGGTTGGTCAGCTGGTCCTCAGTATTCAGTGAAGAGAAGGAAGCCTGTTGGGAATGCTTTAGATGATGTACATGTCAAATTTCTGAATCATATAGAAACACTGGTTGGACACTAGTGTTGGAGATCTTAACCTTGTTCCTTATGATGAGTGCGACAGATTTCCACACTTATTTCGGAGTAATAAAGCATTGCCTTTCCTTTCCTATTCTGATCGGCTTTAATATCTTAATCCGTTCCCCCGTTTCCAATCGAAATGATGTTGCCTAGGCCTTAGAAGCGGTTAAAAGAGAACTAACTTTTGATCTTGAACTTAATCGTAGGACAAAGCTGCCTGTTGAGAAAATCATTTTAGAAATTCAGTTGTCCCTCACATCTACTATCTTTAAATTCCAAGGAAAAATGTATAGATAAACAGAAGGTGTAGCAATGGGATCACCAATGTCCCCTATCGTAGTAGATATCTTCATGGACAACTGGGGAAATATTGCTCTTAATACATTTAATCCTACTCCAAAAATATGGTGGAGATATGTGGATGACACTTTCATAGTGTTAAAAACAGAACATATCTCTAGTTTCTTGACAAATTTAAACTCACTATTGGAGGGAATAAAATTGACATTTGAATCGGAAAATGAACAAGGAGAATTAACTGTGTTAGATTGTAAAATGAAACGAATAGAAGAAGGTAAACTACACACTAGTGTGTACACGAAACCAACTCATTCTAATAGATATTTAGACTTAAATTCATCTCATCCATTAATTGTTAAGGCAGGCTTAGTTAAGTGTCTTACAAACCAAACCATATCACTAAGTAGCACAAGAAAAGACCTAAATGATGAAATGAAACAGATAGAAGAAGCGTTGATGTCAAATGACTATCTTATAAAATTCATTAGGAAGATAAAAATAGACCAAAATAAAAATAATTGGGAAACTAGGAGTGATGACATAAATAAGGGAGAATATGAGGGGATATCTGAGACCCTACGTAGAATTCTCAACAAAGCGGGAATTAGAGTGGCATTCAAACTTACATACTCACTCAGAGACAAGCTCTGTAGGCCAAAGGACCCTGTCGGTGGACCTAATTAAACAAAATAATATAATTTACAAAATACCTTGCAATGACTGTGAGTTAAGTCAACTACATACGTCACACTATTAGATCAGGAGTTGTCAGATTATCAGAACATGAGAATTCGGCTAAGGTTAGAATTACTGATCCCACGAAGATTAGTAATTTGGAAAAAAAACTCAGCAGTCTCACTGCATTCATCAACACACAATCACACAATATGGTGGTACAGAGTCACAATTCTAAAAGTAATAAAGGTAGATGGAGAGAGAGATTGATTACTGAATCCTGGTTCATAGAGTTTACACCCACCACATGCAACATAAGTTACTCAACGCAAATATCAGAGACATGGGAGATATTATTAACAGTTAAATCAGAGGACAATAAATAATGTTAAGATGTTTCAGGATTTCATCATGAGCTGACATTAGTTAGAGAACCACTGGAAAACCTGGGAGTACTGGACAGCTGTTTCGTCCTAGCTGTCCAGTACTCCCAGTTTTTCCAATGGTTCTCTAACTAATGTCAGCTCATGATGAAATCCTGAAACCAATCAAATCCCTACAAACCAACACTTGAATGTTAAGATATATTCCATTCACAGTATAACATTCTAACAAGATATTTATTTTACTATAAAATCATCTTATTTCTCATCTCATTGTATTTTATCAATAACATTAATATTATTTCTGAATGTTCTTTAGTTTTGATTTTATTCAAATGTCTAATCATCAATGTTTACTCATGCATACAAATGAAAGGAAAAAGTTGTGTGAGTGACTTGAAATGATTATGAGCAATAATTTGTTCTCGAAATATCATCAGTAAATAATACTGCACAACACTATGTGATTTATCAAAATAAAATCTTATCCATAATGAAGTGAACGGAGTGATTGGCTTCAAATTTCTTCCAAGGATGGTGACTGGTGCTTGTTGTTTTATTGTCAGGTATCTTTCTCACTTCTGTTTTCGCTACTTCTTCTACTACCAACTTTTCGCTTTCAACCTGTCTAAATTAATACTGAAATTAATCCAAGTCCACTAACTTGATTAAAATAATTACAAAAAATTGAGAAGTCAGTTCATCTTCCACTTGTTTCTGTTTGCTATTCTGGCTTCTTTCAATGTTATAAAATTCGTCCCCAATTAGAGCGAAAAACTTATTAGTGTCTGAAGTGCGTCGGTGGCACAGTGGTTAGGACTCTCGCCGACCATGGACATGGTCCGGGGTTCGAGCCCGCACCGACGCACATCTGATATCTATGGTCGGCCTGCAAAATTTGGGCTACCGATATCCATGCTGAAAATTCCATACTTGTACCGAAAAATGCAGTGTGGAATCAAGCTGTAAATAAAAAAAAAGTTTTATAAGGACACATACAGTGGAAATAATATTAAAAATGTCCTTGATTTTCAGAAAATCGTACTGCGGTGAGAGCTGTCTGCAAGACAAAATTGTAAATAACAGTTTAAGTCAATGTTTACGTCCCGAGTCGGGGTCATGAGAAAAAAACAATAACAAATCTTAACTTTGAGGAACTCGACAACCAATCACAGCAGACTTAGCGTGGGTGGATACGACTCGCAGATAAATGGCTTAACTTTCTGAGAAACGATCATAAGCAGTACAGAATAACCTTCAGCAAGAAAACAACCATTCAGAGACGTTACTTTTCTGCCAACAATAACGCTAGTAATAATGTACATAAAAATCTATGAATATCTCTTGATTTTCTCAATAAACAATCTGTAGCCTGGCCCTTGTCTTCTGTCGTTACACTGCTACCCCTGACTGAAAGTAATGAGGAAAACATGAGCGAATAGAAAAACTCTCACAGACTTGCGGTTACATTTGATATAGCTATGAACAATACATGGTGTTCTAAAGGTGAACTTAAGTAATGATAATAATGTTTCACCGGATCTAAGTTTTAATTTTTCCTTCACGTTCCCATTGGAACATAGGGCTTCAAGCCATTGGTTTGAAGTTTCTGTAGCAGTGTATATTTTTACAGGATGGGGTTGCTAGCCTCATACCCAACCTTTCCCCTTTACCAGCATTATTTCTGGCTCAGTGAGGTAAAGGAGTGCGTCGGTGGCCGGGGATCGAACCCCGGACCATGTGCATGGTCGGCGAGCGTCCTAACCGCTATGCCACCGGATCTAATGAATAAAATAATTTGGAAAACCTATAAACTTTGTGACAGCTTACATTATACGTTTTTGTATCATTTCAGTGCAGATTTTGTCATAAACCAGCATCATCTAAAGGACCACTGGAAGTCAGACAGTACCAAACAGCAATTTTGTTCTTTTTTAGGACTCTAAAGCCGTATACACCCACGGCCATAAAAGATGGTATATCCAGATTCAAGGACTGCACCAGGGAGTGAACCTTAGACCTTCATGTCACGAGGCAAAGCCTGTCTACCATTCATCCGCTTGAGGCTAAATTCAGTGAACTTTGATTTCTACCCTTTGTGATAAGCGCTTATTACACCTTATCACTGTGTCAACAGTGATGTTAACTGAACTAGAGGAAATGTATTCCCCTATCAATCTACCAGTTTTACTTCTCACTTCTTGTTTTAAAAACCTCTACAAAAGGAAAAAAATAGAGAAAAGAATGAAAGAAGAAATAGTTAAAATTTCGGGAATTAACATATCCACCTATTATAGATAAAAAAACCCAGCTAATTGACAGGAAACTGTGCGTTTCTATTAACGAAAGTAGAAAGGAATGAAAGTGGTGAGGAAACTGCTTTCAAGTTTTTACTTCTATAGAAAGAAACATTGAAATATCCGACTGGTACCATGACTTCAGTATGTAAACATTATTTTCAAAAATCCTTATTAAAGTGTATATATATATATATATATATATATATATATATATATGTATATATATATCGGTTTATACTAAAAGGAGACATCCGTTTGCCTTTTATTCTCTAACTATTTCAATGAGAACACCTTAAGGAGTAAGAAATTCATGTAATATTCATATCAAAAAAGCTGGAAGGAAATAACGAGAATTACTTTTTGTGTATATATGTACATTTACCTAATTAGAAGAAAACTTTATGCCTTCATAATTAATTACAAGCGGATTTAACCTTAACTCATTTCAGAGACTCAGGGACTGACTTACTGCCAGGGAATAATCTCATTGACTTAGAATATGCAAACGATATAGTCCTCTCACCTGGGTGAAGACGCTGAAAAAATACAGAG